CTCACTGTGAAGGGCTGGGACACCATTTTTATTGTCAGAATGCATATAAATTGTGCTGTTTCTCTCATAAAGACTTCAGTCTTATATCACATTAAAGGAACAACCAAAAGGGACTAATCTGAGAGAAAATATTGGTCCACTCTTTAGATATGGGCAATGTGCATGTTACCTGTGCCACCTCCCAAAAGCTCCTTACAGGGTCCTGAGTGCTCCCAGAGTTTTGAAGGCAAAAGCCTTCAGCAATTGGTACTATTGGGCAATATGTTTTTTCTTCCCTTTTTCCTGTGGATGTTAGCTTCAGCTTTCTTTTCCATTGATCCTTCTGTAAGAGTTCCCCAAGTCCGCTGATATTTAGCTGAGAGCTTTGGTATCTAACCCCAGTCCTTCCAGCTGCATCTAGCCTCTCTCTGGCCAAAATCAGTGACACTGCAACTAGTCTATGTAAGCAATTTAAAGTAGGGAATAGTAGCTAAAAGCCTGACTCAAAGCACTGTAGTCTTTCTATCAGGTTTTCAAGTCGGCCCACAGCAGTCTATAACTGCAGCAGAAGTAAGTCACTGTTCCTGTGAAGGTCTATCACATCAACCTTTATTAGGTATTTTTTGCAACAATTGTTGGACCATGATGCTACTCTGTATCTTATTTGCACCACTGTATTGAAATAAATAGGATTCAAATGACCTTTCGTGTCTGCCACAGCCTCCACCAGGAAATGAGCCTCTTTCTGTATTCGCTCTGACATTGTTCTCTTGCCCATCCCAAACTCCCGCAACGTAGTGAGTGTGAACCTGCGGAGTTCTCGCCATGTCAAATCGCTGTTGGGGTCAATCTCTGTAAAGACACAGCCAGGAAGCTCACACTGTACCAAAACTCATATCGGATTATTGGAAAGAGAGAGGTCTACACTTCTGCTTCCAGAAATGTTTACTTGCAGAAGATCATTTGGGTGCAAAACATTTTGTGTGTGTTGGACCAGATAGAACGTGGTCCCTGGTAAACCAGGACAAAAGAGCCGAAACTCAACCTGTGTGGAAGTCTGTTTGGGTCTGTAGTTGTTTCATTTCCTCAGTGCCTCCAGTTTTAGGTGGCCTGTGCTTTTATGTCATAGCTGAGAAAGTAGAGCGTCCCTGTACAGTCAAACAATGTTCTTTTTCTTTTGTTTTTGTTTTTTGGGTTTTGGGGGGTTTTTTGTTTTTTTAGCGTATTTACAGTACAGACAGGTTTTTAAAATTCACTTCTCAAAAACTTGGGGAAAAGACTGTAAAGAACCTAAGCTGCCCCTGGCTGCAGACTGCTGCTGCTCCCTCATGGGCTGCTCATATTTATAGCCATCCTACTCCAGGGGCTGAGCACGGGACACAGAGCACCAGGCATACCACATGTCCAGCCGAGCTGGAAGAGTTGGGCCTAGCCAACTCAGGGCCCATTAAAAAGACTGCAAGCTGCCCTGCGACAGGCACCTAGGTGAGGTGCTGCTGAAGCTTGATGCCACTCATGAGTGCTCTTTGGCAGAGTCAGAGAGGTGGATGTTGGGAATACTGTGTTGCTTATTATTCAAAGTCTAAACAATAACAATGTGTTTCATTGGCTGGGGTGGGGAGGGAGGCAACCCTTCAGTGTGTAAAGCAGGGGAGTGGGAGCAGGTAGGAGGAAGAGAAATATTTGGAGGATGGGAGAGAGAGAAAAAGAAATGTTACTTCCTTTTATGGATGAAGCGTACTAGAGGGGACCCCCAGGTGCAACTAGCCTGAGTTGCACCTGGCTGCCTGCTCCAGCTCCCTGAGCTGCAGGGATCAGGGTTTTCTGTTTCATATGGAAAAAACAGGGGAAAAAAACATGGATATTTCCGTTTCCCGTGGAAAATAAATCAGTGAAAACCCACAAAAGGTGAATGGATTTGAAATGACGGAATTTGGGGTGAGGAGTTTGGTTGTATCTTTGTGTTTTAATATTTTATTCCATTTCTAGAACTTTTGTCATATATTGTAAGCTGCCTTGAGTCCGTGTGGGGTGTAGAAATCTGATAAATAAATACAATAAGTAAAACATTGGCTCATTTTATCTCCTGTGAAATGAAATCATTTCCTAGGGCTAGTGTCCTAACCATTGAGCCATACCATCAAGCCATCATTTTTTGTCCTCAGCTTTCAGGAATTATCAGATCTTAGCACCTCAAATGTGTGATACATTAAGTAATAACATAATCAGGAAGACAGACACAAATACCTTCTTCCATCAATCTCCGTGGAAAGGGTAGGTCAGGGCGCCCACCAAATTCTTCAGCATGACCCACCAGAGCATCTTTCATCACTTCATACCCACAGAGCACCACAGCTGGCTTTGATCCCAGCCACACAGTGAATACTGGTCCATATTTCTTGATAAACTGGGGGCAAATCACAGAGATGATGAGATTTGCTTGCCAAAAATAATCTGCTCTTAGAGCACAGATCTCCCCCTGAGCCATGAACCTGAGTTTAAGAGGGTAGGCTGCTGAGGAAGAGCTAAGAGAGCATAAAGCTTGTAACAAGTAAAACTTTAATGGAGGGGTATCCACTAAGGGTTAATCTCTGCATTATTTACGTACTGGGGTTAATGGTTTGGCACAGAAATAAGTGCTGAGGTGACCCCTATGCATTTGAACTGACCAAATCACCAAATTGAAATGCCTCAGCTGTTGAAATAAAGCCACCTTTACATATCAGTCTGGAATATTCATTGCATATATTCATAAAGATATCCTGAATAAGGGAGGGCCAAATCATCAGTACCTGCCTTACTATTTCCTCTGCTGCCCAGAAGAGTTCTCTCACTACTGTTGGGAGTGTGTGTTTGGTGGAAACTCTAAATCAGGCCTGCTTGCCAGAGGCATTTTGATGCACTGAGCCTTATACGATTCCCCTTCTGCTCTAAACTAAGAACTTTCCTGGTCTCTCCCAACAACAGGAACTTCAGACAACCCTTCAAGAGGCCCCTTACCTTCGGATAATGCTTACGCAGGGGGAAGACATCTGTCTGCCATAGGTTCCCCAAAACGGGCCACGGTGCTGGTCCTGCAGGGAGTTGGGCTCTTTTCCTGTTAATTTCCAAGACCAAGTAGCACAGGACAAAAATAAGGAGAAGAAGAATCAGGATCCCTGTTGTCCCAGCATCCATTCTTGTCTGTCACCTTGGGGGAAGGATGGCAAAGGAACTTTATTACAATAGTTAGGAAGCCCAGAATGAAATCTGTAGCTAACTGCCTCTTGTTCTCTCCTTCCATTAATCTCCTTCCGCAAAGCGCTGAGAGGTCAAAGTCCTGGGGTTAATGATTTCTTATTTCTGGTCAATGACCACATCAGAAGTTAACATTTTATTTCCACCCACCCTACCCCTGTCTGACCTGGGAGATCTAGGATTTTGAGAAGGGGCTGCAGACGGTGTGCTGCATTATCACATAGATAATGCAGCTTCCTGGGGAAGCTCTTTGAGAAGATCATCAAGGAGCACATTTGTGATGGGCCGGCATCTGAGATGATGCTCAGGGGCAATCAGCATGGATTTATTAGGGGCAGGTCATGTCAGACCAACCTGATTGCCTTTTATGATCAGGTCACAAAGGCCATGGATGCAGGTGTAAAAGCAGAGGGTGTTCAAGGCTTGGCATGTGATGGCTGTGAGAAGAGATGTTCCCATCAAAAAAAGAGGTTACCCATCCCTAGGCCTCACAACTTCTTCAGTTTTATGCTGCATGAGGATCCAAAGTCCTTAATTCAGCAGTGCCTGCAGAGCCAGGGAAGAGTTAACTTGGCTCTTGGCAGTGACACCTTGTACCTCCCCTAGCAGTGGGGGGCTGACATAGGAACTCCTGACCCTGCTCTGAGTGATGGGAGCCTTGATCCACACTCCCCTCCATTCTGGACCCCCTGCTCCATTACAGCACCATCTTTTACTAAGCACCCAGGGCTCAGGCTCCAACCACCCATCCTTAGGTAAGCTATAGGGAAGAAAAATCAAAGGAGTGTGTGACCACACCACTGAACTCCCCCCACCCCCACCCAATCCATCCCTACCTATCTCTCAGATTGTGCCTGTGATGGCTATGTGTGTTGTAGGGCTTGCTACCACTGCCCTGAGTTCATTTACCTACAGGAGGTGACAGGGTGGACCTCAGCTGTGGATCACCCGGTCTGCCAAGAAGTTGGGCTTACATTTTCTCTCCTGCCACGACTTTGATGAAATATATTCCCAGGAGGCACTGCCTGCCATGATCCTGCCTGGTCTTGATCCCAGTTTCTTCTGTTGGGCTTCAAACCTCCCCTTTACCCCAGCCTAGCCTCTCCAGATGGTACTCACAACATCCTTCTGCAGCCAGGTCACAGTGCTATGTATTGTGGTCTTATTTGGCCCTCTACCCTAGGGTGACCTTTGGTCTTGATTAGGTACACCCTTCCAGGGCTGATCTTGGCCTGTGCTCAAATATCAAAAGGCAAAAAAAAAAACCAACCCAAGGAAAACCCAGGCTGCTCTCAGCCTCTTTGTCGGGCTCAGTCCATGTCCCCCTTTACCCAGGATCAGGTTCTCAAAATCCCAATCACAAAGATCAAGAAAATCCCTTAGTCTAGTCTTTGTTATGTGCCGGCCTGCCCTGCACCCCTGTGAATATTCACAGTCTCCTTGGGGTCTCCCCCATGTGCAGGACGGCTCTACCTGTGACCGTAATTTCTCTCAGGCCCCTCCTCCGGATCCTCTGTTGAAAACTCTGCTCCAGAGATTATCACAGGCCTTGTGGACTCCCTCTCTCCGGCTCCTCAGCTGCAGCTCCCCTCCGGAGATTATCACCAGCCCCATGCCTGCAGGCCTCTGCCTACCTCCTGCCCAGGATCATTCCTGCCCTGTTCCGCAGCCCTTGCCTGTGGGACGCTCAGCTGCTCCCCTCTCCCTGCAGACTGCAGGGGACTGACCCCCCTCTGCCCCCGGAAATACCTCTGGGCAGCCTCCTTCCTCCAATCCTGAGTGAGATGCTGCTCTGGAAGTGTGATGGGTATTTTCCTTCCCTTCCGGTCTATGACTTCCGGTCAGTGCCCTTTCTATTTATTCTTATCTGTCAAATCTCATGTATTGTTTGCCAGACTCTGATCCTGGAACAGGATCCTTGAGGGCAGTGCCCGCTGGGTTGCTAGTGCTTAACTCATTTAAGATCAAGGCCTACAAGGAAGTTTTTTCACAGGAAAATTTCAATCTTGCTGACATTTTTTGATTTTGAAGCAAAATGTTTTCTTTTGGACAGTGTCAACAGACAAAACTGTTGCAATGATCACATTCCCATAGTTAGCTACACCTGTGATCCCACCATGGCTGCTTCAAGGGCACCTACTCAGATCTCAGGGCTTTTACCATCACCCTTCTCAGGTGGAGACAGATAGCCCTCTCCCTCCTGACCAGGAATTGGGGGTCTGGTTCCATGCAATTCATTACAATCAACCTGGCAAGTAACTTTTGCTCAGCACCTGCTATTCTGACTTCTCTCTCACAGGGATATTGCCTGACTTAACCAGTGAGCAATGATTCATGGATTTCCACAAACCTCAGGACATTTTTTTTCCATGTCAAAAAAGCATATTATAGCACAATAAATGGTCTACATTTTGAGTTGGCAATCTTTCCCCAGCAGCAGGCTGAATTAACACAGCTCAGTCTTGAAGTGGGCCAGAGGCAGAAGTTGGTAAATATTCTGTCACTAGATGGTGCATTCTCACCCAAACTTAGTTAGCAAAACTTACTAATGGAAGCCCTAGGTTGCCAACCCCAGTCATAATATACTAGTCAGGATACTAGTTATTAAAGATTACTGCTACCAGCCTTACGAGACAAGAGTTTACTGTCAAAAGTTGGTGGAAGGGCTGAGGAAACAGGCAAAACCCCTTGGCGGGGCATTCTCTTGTGCTGGGACAGAAATGAGCCATTAGTCCATCCCCCCGAGAGCGCTGGGGCAAGCTTGCCTGGAGTAAACTGAAACACTCCCCTCCTCGCCCCTCAACACCCTGTGCTTTATGACAACTTAACAGGGAAAGTCATCAACCCAGTACACGTGGCCTGGCAGGACTTCACCTACCTCCACAATGGCTTTGGGATGGGCTCTGTCTAATAGATGCATGTTGCCTCCTACAGGTAACAGAGCGGGATCCCAAGAGCAGATCTTACCTCTCCTTGAGTAGCAACAAGATGTGTTGTACCGCCTGGCACAACCCTGACTTCAAGTCCTTTCACGTGCTGGCTTCTCACACAATAAACAAGAGCAGTACAGTTTCCATGGCCCTACCAATCTGCTGCAGATAAAGGGACCCAACCTTTTAAGTCAGGATTTTATGTCTCACCCAAATGTATTGTGGTAGATGGTTTCTTCCAGTGCTACAGGAGATTTTTCTGTCTAATCTCTGCAGCCAGAGTATCGCTTTCCATAGAAGAGTCAAATAGAGAAACGAGATTTGTAGAGCTCTAAAGCAATTGCTTGGTTGCCTTGTGAACTGCTTTGTCTCGGTTGCCAGTTGTGAAGAGTTGCAATCCAACCAATTTCCCCCTGCCAAGATAGAGCTGAAACGACAGCTGAGAACACTTGTTTCTCAGAGGAAAACCGACAGTGAACCACTCATCATACTGCAGAACAAAAGGCGAAAAGACATGACCTTTAGGACATTGGCATCTGCTGTTCTGTTCCAGTCTCCCAATCGTCCCCCTGGGTGGGTCATGAACACACATTACAGCTTGTCTTCTTCGCTGTGCTTGAGGGGGTCCTTCAGCCATGGCATTTTTAAAGCAAAATAAGCACACTGAATACTTAGCCTTCTGCAGCTTGCAGGTCCCTCTGGGAGGGAAGATCTGGAGTAGGCTTTCCAAAATGACACTAAATCTCTTAGGAAAACAAGCTTTATTTGCAGATTTAAGTACAGATGAAAATCACCTAAAAGAAAGTGTGTTGGTCCAGCCTGTTACCTTAACACCAAGGTGACTCAACCAGAACCGCATATAGCAAGAGACACTGTACCCTGGAGAGATTGCAGTGTAAATACACCACACAGGCTGGGTGAGGAGTAGCAAATCTCACTGTCCCCATGGTTCAGGTAGGGAATTGAGTATTAATGGTAGGTGAGATGACTTGTCCAGGGTCACACAGGGAGTATGTAGCAGGGCCAGAACTAGACCCCAGCTTCCAAAATCTCTGGCACTGCTTTCTCTTCTAGAGCGTCTATTACCTAAAATTCATGTGGAAAGGATCTGGTTTTCTTTTCCATAATTAAAAGGCAAATTCCAGACTTTGGTCCTGAATCAGTCTAGTTAATGCCTGAAGGAAACAGTGTAAGGAAGGGAGGGAAATGCTGTGTTTCCTGTAGCAGCATTCATACTGTTGCTGTGCAGTACAAGATGTGTATAATGGAGAACACATTGTGTGTTGTTTCACTTCTAGGCTTGGTGTTGAAATCAATGGTGATACTCCACTGTAAGGAAGAAGAAGATAGCACCAAGGATCTTGTTAGTCCTGGACTAGACTAGGCTGTAATGGATGGGCTGGAATCATACCTGAGGTTCTGCTACTTATGCTGCAGACATTATTTCAGCTCACCACCACAGGCTTATCTGAAAAAGTTTTTCTTAATCTCTAACCTAAATTTCCCCTGCTGAATCTTAAGGCCATTGCTCCTAATCCTGTTCCCTACAGACACGGAGAAAAGCCCATCTCCATCTTCTTTGTAATCACCCTTCAAGTATTTGAAGACTGTTACCAAATCCCCCTGCCCCAGTCTTCTCTTCTCCTGACTAAATAACCCTAGCTCTTTCAGTGTCTCCTCACAAATCTTGTTTCCTAGGCCCTTAATCATTTTTGTCGCTCTTTGCTGGACTCTTTCACACTTCTTTAAGTGTGGGGCCCAAAACTGGCCACAGGACGCTGGGTGAGGCCTCACCAGTGCTGAATAGAGTGGCAGAACCATTTCCCTTGATTTACAAGTGACACTGATCACTTCCAAAGCCCTCCCTGCTCTTTCCCTCTCCCTTTCCCTAAGGCAGTCACAGCTTACTCTCTCCCACCCTTTCTCTTTCCTCCCTCCTCTATGGCAAATGCTGTTTTTACCTTCTCTTTGCCCCATCCCACCCCACATTGGCAACACAGTCCCTCCCCTCTTTTTTTCCCCTCTCTCCTCTTGGATGGCAGTGGTGGCCCGTAGTTTATGGCCCCTGGCAAGCACCCAGCACACCATTCTAATACACTAGCTCCATTGGGGTGACTTGGTGGCAGCCTATAAGTACATCGGGGTGTGCTTCAGGAACTGGGAGAACGTCTGTTCACCAGGCCACCCCAAGGGAAGACAAGGTCTAATGGTCACAAACTGCTGGAAGACCATTTTAGACTGGACATAAGGAAAAACTTATTTACCGTCCAAGTCTCCAGAGTGTGGAATAGACTCCCCCCAGAAGTGGTGCAAGCACCTACTCTGGATACCTTTAAGAAACACTTGGATGCTTATCTTGCTGGGATGACCTGACCCCAGCTGACTTCCTGCCCCTGGGGCAGGGGGCTGGACCCGATGATCTCATGAGGTCCCTTCCAGCCCTAATGTCTATGGAATCTATGAAATCACTAGAGAGAGCAGCAATTTAGCTCAGGGATTTTGGTAAGGGCCTCCTTGCCAGCATAAGAGCTGTGGTCACTTGAGTTAGGATAAATGGTGGGGTTCCTAGGGCAACATAATCCTGAGGGTGTCAGGTTTGACCTAGAAACCACTACACATAGCCCAAGCAAAAGTCTCTGTTCTGTAACTAATGCCCAACTGCAATGATAAGGAGAAGACAGTCTTAGATAAAGGAGACTTGAAAACAAAAACAGAATTAGTGGAGTAGGGCAAAGAGCTGATTTAAATATTAAGATTCACACCCCTAGGTGGGGAGAAAGTATGCTAATGAAACATACATGTATGGAAATGAGATACATGGCTAAAACACAGGTATAGAGACATGCTCAGTAAAGAACTCCTTGCGTCACTCCCTTATAACCAATTAGCAAACAAGAATGCTTATGAAGGTCCAATACTGCTGTACAAAAGATGCTCATAATTAAGACTCTGTGTGCTTGTTACGTGAAATTATTCCGCTTGCACCTTGTATTGCTAGCAATAAATCTTTATACTTTCACCCCTGGTATCTTTATTGGCTTTTGCATACCGGGCACGATCCCAGACTTGAGCTGGGGCTCAACAAGGGTGGGAGATGGATCTGTCTGACCTTTGGACTCTACCTACCCAGGTCAAGATGCTGCATGAGCTGCAGTGGAGGAGGGAAGGGGCCAGTGCTAGAATGCATTGCCCCACAAGTTTCACACATCTGTGAGAGGGGGACAGAGATAATGACAAGACCCAGTGGGGATATGATTCTACCTAGTGATTCTCTTTGATTTGCTGGTATTAGTTGCTGGCTTTCTCAAATGTACAAATGTCCCTCCCAAGATGCATTTGTTTTTTTTAAACCCTGTGACTCAGTGCTTTCAAGTGGGAAGTGTTATCCATCAAAGGAACCAAGCTGAAGTAATGCAGTTTCCCATTTTCTGGTGAGGGCACTAGCTGGTATGATTTACTGCCATTTTGGTGATAACTGCATTTTGAAGAAAGCTTGCAATACCAATCATAAAGTGATTGCTTAGTAAACTGCTTTTAGTAAAACATTAACTCCATTGTGAAACTGCTTCTTTGATAGGCAGAGTTCAGATAGATCCAGAACTAACTCACAAACCCAAAATTCATCAGATCCCACTTTTATTGGCACATACACTTGACTCCGCTAACATGTCAGGATCATGCTTTTTCATTATTATAACAGTTTTGAATGATAGATAGTCTGAATGTCAAAATTAAACACAATGCTTTTTAAAATATTATCAAGGGTTATAATTAACATACTAGGATAAACAAAAAGTATTTTGAATTTTAAGAGCTCAAAAAAATAGCAAATGGAGCAAAAAAATCTTTACACTTACAATGATTGTAAAGTTTTGGATTTGACCTCTGAAATTACAGTTTGCTATAAGTAACTCCCCTTCATCTTTAATCTGTAAAATAGACTTAGTTAAAGGAATTGTCCAGTATGCAAAGGAGAACATTTTTTTTTTTTTAATTTCATCAGAAAACTTGGGGCCAGAAATCTGCCTTTATACTCGGGTATAAACAGATGAAGAGCAGCTCTATTAGTATCGTTAGAGTTATGCCAGTCTAAGAGGTCAGAACAAAACCCAATTTGCTTTTAGGAAAAAGATAATTCATTCTATTAGGGCATCCAGAAAAGAAATTAAATGAATACCTCATTTCAGGCACTCAAAAGAAGATTTTCAAAAGCAGAAATGACTGTTAGGCATCTCAATTCCCATTGATTTTCACTGGGAGTTAGGCGCCTCTATGCCATTTGTGCCTTGGAATATCTGACTAATGAATAGTCCAAACTGTTGTTTATGGATTCAATTTAGAAATCACAAGGTATAGTATGTGGCCCAAATTATATCAGAAATGCTGAATACTCTGTATATATTGTACCACTGAAACTTTGTGAAGTGATCTGGTAATGGTCTTCTTAGTGCAGATTTTCCTGTGATGGCTATTGGAGAGGGTTGTTTTTTCCCCACAGCTTCACAGAGAACCTGGAGCATATACCCAGGTAATCTCTTATTTCATTTCAGGAACAGCCTGTGAGATCTTCCTGCCAATACAATCCTAGAAAGGTATAAAATAGACTTCCACAGACATCAGGAAAACAAGGACACATCACATCAACATCATTAATAGAGATGGATAAATTTTTTCAGTCGAATATATTCTTTAGCCAAAAAAGTTTTTCTTGACCAAAAACTACAGTTTTGAATTCCGGTCAATTTCATTGAATTGTTTATGAAAGAAAATGTTTGATTTTCAAATTTTCAAACATGAAAATCAAACATGAAAATGTTTGATTTTCAATGTTTGATTCTCAAAACCCCCCAGACTGAACTCCCTCTGCTCCCTTTCCCCCGCTCCCATTCTGAAAATGGAGACAGGGTGGGAGCTCTGCCAGATACAAGTTACAAAAGCCTACATTTTGTAACCTCTTTATCTGATACCACCTGCAGTGAGGGGTCAGACTTTCACGCAATCGCCCATTTTTTAAGCTGTTTGCAGCTATGCACTGGTGTTTGGTCATGAGTATTATCTGCTTTCTGTGGCTAGATCAGGTGAAAATTGTCACTTGTGTCTGCACTCTCTTTTTCCATCACTTTGCTAGCTCGAGTGGGTAGCATGATTATAAAGGAAGTTGCAGTTTATTTAGTAAAGTAGCCACATCTTATTGTCACTACATATGGGAGCCGATCTGAAGGAGAAGAAGCCACTTTCTGCAGTTACCTTTTAGAGTAGCCCTATAACTTTAGGAAGGTGGGAAACAGGAATAGGCTACAGAGAAACTTTTCACGTACATAATCTCTATTTACACAGCTCACTAAGCATGGCCTTACTCAAAGGGCTAAGCATGATGGATCCTTTACACACCTGTACAGCACAGAGGCCAGGACAGCACTTGTGAGTGGTCCAATCCAGTATACCCAGTGGTTGTCCCAGTGAGTGGATATTAAAGCAGGACCAAAGGCCCGAGCTGGATTAAGGCAAGATCCAGAGATGGAGCCACTGAAAGTAGAAAGCAGAGACATGCATACGGTCCACAGGATTAAAAAACAAACAAACTCTGTTTAAACCAGGCTTGGAGGACCCATTCCTCTCTGTTTAAACCCTTGTCTTGCAGATAGTTGAGTGAAATCAATATTGCTGTCCCCTAGTGCTCAAATTTGAAGTCAGGTCTGGGGTTTTGGTAATATCTTTTACCGGGCCAATTTAAAGCTTGTCTAACATCTCTTCCAAATATTTAGTTGATCCCATAAAAGATGTTACCAAAAAACAAAAACAAAACCCTGACTTGCATACTCACTGGACCATCACAGCTACAACAATACTTCAACCCTTCTTAAAAAATCATATTTTTGTTTCCTGGAATTCAGCTTTTCAAAGTCACATTTTTCAAGCTCTATTTCAAAAGCAAAATGTAAGAGTCTTTCTTCATAGTTTCATAGTAGGTAGAGTCAGAAGGGACCTGAGCAGATCATCAAGTCCACCCCCCTGCCATGGCAGGAAAGAGTACTGGGGGCAAATGACCCTGGCAAGGTGGTCATCCAGCCTCCTTTTAAAGCCCCCCGGGGTAGGAGCCAGCACCACTTCTCTTGGACGTTGGTTCCAGATCCTAGCCGCCCTGACAGTGAAGTAGCGCCTCCGGATGTCTAGCCTGAATCTACCCTCTACCAGCTTGTGACCATTATTTCTAGTCACTCCCGGTAGTGCTCGGGGGAACAGGGCCTCCTCCCAGGCCCGCTGGTCCCCCCTGACTAGTTTGTAAACGGCCACTAGATCCCCCCTCAGCCTTCTCTTGTGGAGGCTGAACAGGTTCAGGGCCTGTTGCTGCTCCTCGTAGGGCCTGCCCTGCTGCCCCCTGATCATGCGGGTGGCCCTCCTCTGGACCCTCTCCATGATGTCCACGCCCCTCTTGAAGTGCGGCTCCCAGAACTGGACCCAGTACTCCAGCTGCGGCCTGACCAGTGCCGCATAGAGGGGGAGGATCACCTCCTTGGACCTGCTTGAGATGCATCTGTGGATGCATGACAAGGGGTGGTTGGCCTTCCTGACCGCGTCCCCACACTGTCGGCCCATGTTCATTTTGGCCTCAATAATGACTCCTAGATCCTTCTCTGCCTCTGCGCTGATGAGAAGGGAGTTCCCCAGCCTGTAGGTCTGCTGCTGGTTCTTCCTCCCCAGGTGCAGTACCCTCTTCCTTCTTTTTTTTTAAGCAAGTGAGTAAATAAATGAAAACTGGAAGGTTCTGTTATCATGACTCAAAAAAAGTAGCCCGATATTATGAAACAAAATAAGCTTGTGAGTGGTGGTAATACTGTGAAATCACCCAGCATACAGGGCGCCTATACATGAGCACAGAGGCTGCTCCGGTGTGCTGGAATTCCAGTGCGTCAGAGCAGATTCAGTCGAGTCTGCTGGAGCATGGCAACCGCCGCACTCCAGCAGCTTCCTGCATCTCGTGTATCAGTGTCCCTACAGTTAAAATGGCAGTGGGGATGCTTGAACTAAAACTCATTGAATGAGCTTTACTTCAAGGGCCCCCACTTCCATTTTTAAGCGTGGGGATGCTGATACAGGGAGCATGTGGTGCTTTAATTGAAGTGGCGCCCGCCCCGAACATGTGTATAAGTGCCCATTGTAGTGGGCACGCTGGCTGCGGCTTGGCTTGCGTGCAGCTTGCCAGCTTGAGCAGGATGCTGAGCCACTGGTGGAATTTCTTCCACCAATCAGAAGAGGGTGCCGGACGGCTATAAAAGAACAGCATGTTCGGCTGGGAGACCAGACTGTTAGCTAATAAAAACCTAGTCTGTGAGATCTTCCTGAGAAAGCCTAGGATTCTGGACTAGCCTAGAGACTGACATGACACCTCATTCAACGAGTGACAGAAGTCAAGTCTCTTGTCACTCATGAGTTACCTCCTTCAGCAACAACAGGTTATCCAGTTTGGATCATATCAAGAAACTGATTAACAGCCAGGAAAAACATACTAAATCAGGAGGAGACATCGATCACGTATGGAGAATGTCTCTTCCTGCATATAAACACGAGTTGGTCGCAAAAGAAATATTTACCATACTAATTAATCAAAGACAGACATTTCATATGGTTACACACCAGACAACTAAGAGTCTGCTTGAAACCATCCTGAATATAGCAAGATAAGCTGGAAGAGATACTTCATTTTTCCTTCGCAGATGTCCTAGCCTTGAACTCGCATCCTCTTGCATGATGCAGTTAGCATCAGTATTCTGTACTTTAACTTTTGTGAGTAGGCCCGAGCTTAGCATGAGTTTCAGAGTCATCAAGACCAGTGAGGGATGAGAAGAAGAGCAGAGCTGAGAAAAGCTCGGGAGACCTGCCCCAGCAGGCGATAGCTCTAGGCTCCTGAAGACGTCACTGGAGAAGCCACTGCCTCAGACCTGGGAGCAGGGAGAGCCTGCTCAGGCCCCACATGGTGTACACCCTGGCGCACAAAGCCTTGGCCCTGGGAGCGGTGAGAGACCGCTTGGGCCTCGTCAAAGGGCATCTGCCCTAAGGCGCTCTTGAAGCATCGCTAGTCCCTTTCCTCCCAAAGGGACACTGGGCCTGGGCCTAGAAAAGGTGGGCAGAGCCCCATCCCTCACCTCAACAGAAGACGGGGCCTTGGAGGTGCCCCGGGCTGGACCCCAGCCTATGAAGAAGGAACCCCCTGCGACACACCAGAGCAGCAGCCAGGTCCACAAGGGGGGAAAACAAGCCTACCTCATCCCTGCTCAGGACAACTGTGAGTTCAGGGAATAGGGGCTTCACAGGGGAGGGGCCGGATAAAAGGGACCTCCCAACCCCCCTCCTTTCAGAGAACCGGGTGGGAGGTGCACCTAATATTTTGTAAACTGGTTGCACTGTGTGAGTTATGTTATATTTTAGCTGGTAAAGAATTTTACGGTTGTTATTTTCATTGGAGTCTACTTTTCTTGTTGCTTAATTTGTTGAGCATTATATTGGGAATCTGATACTTACCTACTGGAGGCCTGCACGGGATCACCCTGTGGGCCTAGTGGCTTACCTTAAGGATCTCGGGGTCCTGGGTAAGGGGGTCACTCTCAAAGCATACTCCGTGCATCCCCATTCCCGACTACATTTATAAATATGCGTATGTATACGAGTGTATAGAGGGAGGGCTGTGGGGCTGTGCAGACGTCTCCCAGGGGACACAGGCCCCCAGATCTGCACACGGGATGACAGCATGCTGCTACTGCTGGCTGAGGTCAGCACCAGCACTGGGTTCTTCCCGGTGCAACACGTGCCGAGGGCTGGGAAGAACCTGGCACAGCCCTCCCAGGGGGCGCGGGCCCTCAGATCTGCATGTGGCATAACAGCAGGCTGCTGCTGCCAGCTGGGGCCAGTGGCAGCACCAGTCTTCTCCGCGCAGGCTGCGCCAAGCACTGATCCTAGCCAGCAGCAGCAGCCTGCTGTCATCCCACACGCAGATCTGGGGGCCTGTGTCCCCTGGGAAGAGTCTGGCCCATCCCCACAGCCCTCCCGGGGGGCACAGGCCCCTGGATCTGTGGACGGGATGACAGCATGCTGCCACTGCTGGCAAGTGACAAGAGTTTTGCTTTGAACAGTTTGAGGTGCAGTTTCCCAGAAACCCCTGCACCTATCTTCTTGAAACGTAGCAAGCTTCATGCCCTCAGAGGGGGCTATTATCCCTACAGCTTTTATCCAAATCAGGCAAAAAATGACAAAGTTATAGGCATTTTCATGATTCCCCATTATAGCCTATGGGCAAAATGTCGAAACGCGTTGAAACAGTGAAACAGTTTTGACAAAATTAAATGGAACAGTGCTTCGAAACAGCAAAACAAAACCACTGTCCATTTGAAATGGTGAAATGGAAGTCGAAACCAAACAGTGCTGTTTTGCCCTGTTATGTTGGCAGTAGGTGGCCAGTGGTGTCCCATAGGGTTTGGTTCCCAGTTCTGTGCATCTTTATCGACAATTTAGATGAGGATGTAGAAAGCACGCTGGCCAAACTTGTGGATGATACTAAGTTATGGAGAAAAGTGGTCATGCTAGGGGATTGGATGCAAATCCAAGAGGACCTAGATAAGCTGGAAAGGTGGGCAAAACGGAATCAGATGCAGGTCGATAAGGATAAATGCAGAGTGCTTTATCTGGGGAGAAGTAACCAGAGACATGAATATAGGTTTGAAGGAGATATCCTGGCCATGATGGCTAAAAGGAACCTCGGGGTTATGGTTGATCACAAGATGAACATGAGCCACAAATGCAATGCTGTTGTCAACTGAGGTAATAGCATTCTGGGATGCATTAGCCAGTGTCACAGGCAGGGCTAAGGGAGTGATACTTCCTCTCTACTTGGCACTGGTGAGACCCCAGCTGCAGTACTGTGTCCAGCTCTGGGCACTGCACTTCAAAAAAAGATGTGGAGAATCTTGAAAGGGTCCAGAGAAAGGCCACAAGAATAATTAGGGGCCTAGAGGACAAGCCTTATGAGGAAAGACTGTGGGATCTGCAGGCTGGTCAACCTGGGGAAGAGAAGACTAAGGGGGGACGAGGCTGGTCAGCCTGGGGAAGAGAAGACTAAGGGGGGACTTGGTGGCCATCTATAAGTATGTAAGGGGTGAATATTGGGAGCTGGGAGACAAACTGCTCACTAGGGCACCCCAGAAAAGGAAAAGGAGCAATGGCCATAAACTGTTAGAGGCTGGTTTCAGGGTGGATGTAAGGAAGAACTTCATTACAGTAAAGGTGACCAGAATCTGGAATAGACTTCCCAAGAAGGTGGTGCAGTCCCCAACCTTGCAAGTCTTCAAGAGGAGACTGGACAAACACCTTGCTGGGATCACTTGATCTCAGCAGTATTCCTGCCCAGAGCAGGGGGGTTGGACTCAGTGATCTTTCGGGTCCCTTCCAGCCCTTAATTTCTATATGATTCACTCCCCACAGATGAGCCACCCAAATTGCAATCCTCCAGAATCCCTGGATGCACTGCCAACCATTGCCAGTTCTGGCACCAAACCAACTCCTCCTTCTGCCTCTGGGGGTGTGTCCTTCCCACTCCCAGGGGTGCAAACCTGTGCAAACTGCCTGCAGAGTATATGCCAGGTAGCCATGTCACAGGGTACAGAGGGATCCAGGAGTGGACTCTAGGGAGGATGGGGGGAGAACAAGCTCTTCCCAGGGAGAACAAGGTGGATTGGGTGCCCATCAGCTGGGGCTTCCTTCCCAGGTCAAGGCCAGTGGCTTCCCCCAAAAGTGCCTTCCATCACTGCTCCCAGCTCCCACCTACCTTGGGAAGCATGACCAGCACCCCCGCACCTCAAAATCCCAGTTTATTAAAATATGAAACCTTCTTCAGTTCCTTCCTCTTAAATTCTTTTTATTGCTTTTTATTTTATCCTTCAGTGTCTGACTTCCTTCATTTCACTATCCTTCCCCCACTCCCTATTTCTTTTCCACCTCATATTTCATTACCCACTCCCATCCCATTTACTCTTCACCTCCCAGCTTTATGTTCTTTACCCCGCTTCCCCAATCGCTTGCATACCCCCACCTCGAACAGGGATAGAAGTCTGTCCTGGCTCACCAGCCATGTAAAAGCAACTCACACCTAGTCAGGCCCCTGCTTGCCAGCCCTCTAGTGGCAAGTCTTAGCTGTGCAGGTGGGGGAACAGTCAGAGAAGGTTTTTAGCCTTAAGGTCCAACTTCTCCAAACTTGAGCTAGCACTAATACCGATTGTATTTAAACAGCTCAAAGTACAATATATAGCAAGGCCCTTACCTGACTAGGATACCTGTGGCAAGGGCAAAGCCAATGCAGAATGGAGCCAGTGGAGTCTTGCTGTGCTCAGCCAGGCTTCCCATCAGGACAGCGAGGAGGAGGAGAAACGAGAGCGTCAGCTCTGCACAGACAGCCATCCCCACTGTGCTGCCGTCTTGCACCATGCAGCCCCCTCCAGTCCGGTTGAAGAAAATTGCTTCTGGCACCATGCTCTGTTCTCCACACCACATCCCAGAAAGGAGAGAAGGAAATACAAATAACAACAAAGGATACAACCAGACAAGGTTCTTTAGGTAAATCTAATATCTTTTATTAGACCAGCTCAAATAGTTGAAAAAATTCTTCTTTGCAAGCTTTCAGGTACAAATACCTTTTATCAGGCTGACAAAGGCTTTATCTGCAGATGCTTTCTCAGCCTGACAAAGGGTATTTGTACCCAAAAGCTTGCAAAGAAGTATTTCCAAACTATTTGAGTTGGTCTAAGAAGTGATATTGGATTTACCCAAAGAACCTTGTCTGCCTCTGTCCTTAGGCCAACACAGCTATGACCTATACCCCTGAAACAAAGGATACAAGGCACACTCTCCCAGGTGCTGTTCTGTTTGAATGGCTACTGTAGCCCTTTGCTTTTCAGGTTTGTAGGAGGGGGGGAAATCTAAACTTTAATAGTTAGGGCACTGGAAAGAACCAAGTACCCCATGCAGGCTGACTGGAGGGGTGTGCATTCCCCAAAACAAGGCTGGCTGCTGTTGTGTATGAATGAGAGCGCACAGGAAAGGCAAGGACTGCATGCTGGTGACAGTGTTGTGCCCTGCTATGAACAGCTGATAGTTAATGCCGTGTTAATACCAAGTGCATCTGCATGTGGAGGGGAGTGGAACAAGGAGGCCTGTAAGCTGGGAAGCTGTCTCCCTGTGATATGTTCTTGACCCTGTTCTGCTTTTTTCTAGAGCCATGTTGAACACGGAAAATAAAGCAGACACATCACAGTGAATTATTGGGTTCATTCACCAGCAGTTTTCAGGTACTTGGATTACTCTGCCCTCTGGTGTCCACATTGTGAACATGCTTTTGACCAAATGCCTCAGTGGACCAAAAGAAATGCAAAAATTTCGAACTTTTGGTTCAGAGATGATACCTTTTATTAGACCAACTAAGAAATCACAAAAAAAAATTGTCTTTTTCTGCAAGATTTTGGGCTCTCATGCTCTTCATCAGGCTCAGAGAAAATTAAAGATGGTAAAAAATCCCCATAGGTAGGAAATAAACTTCATTTTTGCACAGAGGAAGCTGAAGATGGAGCTCTGTCCCAAAGGTTTTACTCTTGTTGTCTGTATCATTTAACAAAACAGAGAGCAAGATCCTCCATTACCAGGGCAAAGGGGAGAGTCATTCTCAAGGCATCTGTAGCAAAGGCAAGCTCTGAACCAGCACTCCTAAGTCTCAAGTACTTACCAGAGTGCCTCCAGGCTGCCTGACTTCTAGTGTGATGTTCTTCCCTAGGTAATATTGTACTCTGTGTGCACATTGTGGCACCTTGGATACTGACCTTTGCTAAGGCAAATAAGATTGGGCACCACGGTGGAACTTGCATGGGGTGACATTGGAAGGTGCTTTTGAATAACCTTTCCTTCATAGCTCTTCTCTAAAGTCAGGAGCCAGCCCTGGATACCTCCATACCCTGCCAAATGCTTCCAGGGCCTGAGACCAGGGCTTGATGTGGGCGCTGTTCTCAGGACCTTCTGTCCCTGTGTGGATCCCAAGATGGTACAGTGTGGTCTCAGCATATCGCAGATAGAAATGCTCCGCTGGCATTCAGAGAGGCTCAGAGGATGCACTTCCATTCCACATTGCATCCACTCTATTACGTGTAAGCTGGGTGGCTCAGTTAAACTTGCTCTGCACAAGGCAGTGGAAGATGTAACATGGTTTATGCAATGTTTGCTGTGTTGGCCCTCTACACATGGCCTCACTGCCATAATAGGCTTTTTCAATCCTAGTTGCTGACCTACCTATCAAATCCAGTCACTCCCATTCCAAACCAGTTTTCAGTTGCTGAGCTCAGGATGGGGATATTCTGAGCCAGCTGTCCTGGATGGGTGCTGATGTGAAATTGGTTTTGCGCTGGACCAAGCACCTATGAGAAAGCCCACACTCTGAAAACTAGTTTTCCAAAGTGTTGGAAGTGGAACAAGGTTGCAATAGATAGGTATGGCCTGTATGTTTTATACATAAGACAATATGAGGTAATGCTATGGTGAATTCAGGCCTTCTTTGCTGGGACTGTGTGAAATTTTTGCTGGGACTGTGAGAAATTTTAAGACCCCAGATTTTGAGGATGATCAATTAAACAATTTTCATAATAGGTGCTGCTAAAGAGTCCATCCTGAGTCTCTCTTGCCTTGTACTTTGGTCCTGATTCTGGCTGCAGTTGAGCAGAGGAGGGGAAGAGAGAGCGAGGCAGTGGTGGCTGTTGAGCATTGCAGTGGACCCTGGAAGTGTCCAGGGATCACGGGCTGTTCAAATTGATGTTGCTTTGTAGCAGCCACGGAGCTGTCCAGCAGCCTGGAAATTCAGATCAGTGTACTCAAGCCACAGCTCTGCTCTTCCCTAAAAACCTTTCCTGTCCCTGGCCACACCTCCACCATCTTCCCTATTTCCTAGGTAGGAAGCAGGAGAGAATAAGACCATCCTGCTGTCCTTTTATCACTGAAGGATCCCCTTTCTGCTGGGTATAATCCTCAGGAGAGAAATCCACTAGTTTTACAACTGTTGTACATACCTGGAGTCAGCTTAAACCAGGCTCTATATAACCCAAATCAAAGCCTTTGTATTGTCATTTTTGCCTATACAAAGCAGGAGTATGAGAGTGGGGACTATAGCTCTCACTTTGTAAGACTGAAACCAGGACATAGGGGTGATCCATCCCTCCCATGGGTTATGCAGCTGGTGTTTTGATTTGTGTAGATATTGTGGCTGGGGGGAGGGAGGGGACACAACACGCTCTTTAGATGTTTGCTTGCCATGCTTTGTGACTTCTGTCTGCCAGCATTCATCTGTCTCACACACTTGATCTCCAGGAAATCTCTACAGAACAAGTCACTTGGCAGGGAAGGTTGTGGCTACATTTTGAAGTGAATGCTGGAACACACCAGGAAAGCAATTTTTAATTTCTGATTGCAATCAGCATTAGACTGGACACCTGTTTTCCAGAATTACATTACTTCAGCCCCAGAACAGAAATGTCATGTGACCCAGGCATCTCCTCCAAACAGTTCTTGTTTCAAAGGCTGCTCACAAACTAGCGACAGGTGAAGGATCTTGGAGAATCATTTCAGATGAGGATTAAATTACCCACTGTCATGGGGTGGCCTGCAGAAGACAACACCTCCTACCCTGTCACTAATCATCAGGCATCTCCTAAGTGATGGGCCTGTTTTCTTTTCTTAGAATTGGGAAGACTGTGACAGCACAAACACACAAGGTTTTCTACTGCTGTGCTGAAGAGCACAGCTCTCCAGGCCACACATTTAACAGATTATCAGCAAGGCATAAATAGGATGGAACATAACCTTCACAAGTACAGAGGTGAAGAGCAGATTGGCGATTCTGCATTGCTGCTGTCAATGCTACACCTGCATGCAGGAGATACCAGGGCAGGGGACTGGACCTGGTTTACCAGTTTGATTTATGTTGCCTTCTTTACTGAGAAATGAAACCCAAGGAGCTAAGGTTCTGCAGGTCTTGGTTGCTTTAGTAGTGACATGGCTGGCGCATTTCCCTGGTACTTACTTGGTCTCAAAACCATACCACTGGAGAGTTTGGGATTTCTCTCAAGTACCAAAGCACCTCAAACAACTTTGTTAAAGTATTTTCTGTGCTTTCCCTTCTCAAGCACTGGGATCTCCTTTCTGCGACACATCTGATCTTCCAGCTAGCAGCTATGCCAGTGTCTGCTTTTGTGCTTTCCACTTACCTTGGCCAAAAGAGCTCCTAGCATTCCTCCTGATAGCTGACACAGCCAATATGGGAGAAGGAGAAGTGGGGAAAGGCCTCCTGCAGCCAGAGCGGCCAGGGTAACAGCTGGGTTGAAATGGCCACCACTGCAAAAGGAAAGGGGTCAATTGTGCCCACACCAACCACGAGGCAGGATACTGAGTGACAGGGACACCTCCAGTAGGTTAGGATGCAGTGCCCTGAGCATGCAGAGCCTATGCATGGAGGTCTATGCCACTCTCAACATCCTGGTGATAGAAAACGGGTCCCTGACAGATACTTTTTGCCAGATCCTCAGACTAATTCATTCTGGATTTATGAGTAAATCCCCTCCCTTCCTTTCCCCTCTGAGAGCTTTTATCTCTTGGTCTCATGAGGTGAAATGTACTGGTTTGCAATCCATTATGGGTGAGGGGTACATCTAACCGTGAGTGACAAATTATAGTGAATAGCTCCTAGTGGTAGCGCTTGAAGCACTGATTTGTAATCTCCACTGAGGCTGCGGAGAATCGTCCTCCTAAGAGACGCGTATATAACTTGCAGGCAGATGGAACCAGGATGCCGACTGAAGCAGAACCTAGTCTCAGAGTAAGTCCTGAAAAAACACCGGCATCTTCCAGTTCTCCACAACCTACCCAAGCTCCAGCCCTTGACTTAGTCAGGGCCAAGAGCACCTTCCATGATTCCTGTTTAAGCTCCCTTCACCTAAAACTAGGAAGGCCTCCTGCTTTCTCTGGGATCAAAAGGTGGCTAACTATAATTTTCTGACTAACATTTCTAGGATTTAATGTGGAGTTATGCATCTTTCTGGGTGGGATAGGTTCACAATAGTGCACCACCTCCTTGTGGAGCAGTGAGTAGGTGCTAAGTGGACTCAGGTGTTGGACTGCAATCCTCTTTCTACTCTGATTAAGAGCCTGAAAAGACATGAGTGCAGAAGGTGAGTGGGTCTTCCTCCTGCTCGTTGATTATTGTGATCTGGTGTTCAGGCTGAGACAAAGACACATTACAAAAGTAGGTGCATTAACTGTTTTTTGCAGGCTGAACTATGGTTGCATGAAGCCCCCCTGAGTTTACGTAGGTGCTTCATAAGTGGAATAAGATCTGGCTATAGGTCACTGCAGGATCAGGGTCTAATAGAGCACAGACCGTTAAGTAGTGGTTCAGGTTTGATTACATAGCCTGATTTGACTTGATTATGGACTATGTCTATGTACCCATCCTACCTGCAGAAGAGGAGACAACTGCCCCATACCTTATTTTCCCCAAAACTGCTACCATGATCCCCAGCGAAAATCCATGAGCAAGAGCTGGCCCCATGGGCCCTGCCCCCTCAGGGTTGGTGATCACAGAAAGACACGCGGCTGCCACAAACAAGGTGCTGCCCATCAGCTCAGCCAGGCAGGGCTGGGCATACTTCTCAAAGATGGTCCGATCCTCTGGCTCTTTCCCAGGCTCTGCTTGGGCAAGGATGGAGGTTGCTCCTACATTCTCCATTTCTGTCTCCAATGAATATGTTTTGGTGAGAAGAACCATCCTTGGGACGTCTGGCACCTGAGATGATGCCTATTGGGGGAGAAGGAAAAAAGGTGTTATTTCCCCACTCTGACCAGCAGCATAGAGGACCTTACATTGGGAATGAACCCATCCATTGTAATCTATGTGTTTTTCCTGTTCTCCCCAGAGGGCCTTAGGAGGGGCCATGCCTCCCTTCTGCCCACAGTAGCAGAAAGGAGATAAAACAAAGACTGAAACAAAATGTGCTGAAGTGCTGAGCTTTCCTTTCCAATCACCTGTAACATGGAGTGATTTCTAGAAACACAGAACTGACTCATCGGGCACTTTTATACATGCTACGGGCAGTGTGGGGAGGGGAGAGGGGTGCTTTTATTAGCAAGTCATGCTAACTAAAAATGCCCGAGCAGCATATGTATCAGCGTCCCCACACTGAAAAATGGCAGTGGGGCACTTTGAACTAAAGCTCATCAAACGATTATTCGAGTCCACTCCAAAGTACTAGATTCCCAGTACATCGGAGCAGGCTCCCTGCACATGTATAGGAGCCCATCAAGTCCAGTCTCCACCTTTCACAAGCATCCACGCCAAAGAGTTTCCTTTATTAAACTGATCAAGCTCCATCCTAAAAGTAGTTAATTTTCGTGCTTGCCACTACTGTGATTAGGAATCTGTTCCAGAACCTCACAAAAACCATCTTCTAAATTGCAACTGAATTTACTCATGGCTGGTTTGTTCCTGTTTAATTTGGTTCTGTAGGTTAAATAGATCTTTCATCTGTTCTGCCATAACGAGGTTTCAGCTGGGATTGCAGTAGAAAACAAAGAAATATAGGGGACTGATTTTTTTGGTTGCACTAAACTCAATCTAAGCTGTTTGGCAGTGGAAAAAAAGCCTTACTGCCATGGAAACAGGCTCCTGAGCTCTCCACACAGGGGCTTTAGGGCTCTGTACTAGTCTTGCTCTCGGTCATTGGTGTCAGAGGCAGATAAAGGTGGCTGCAGAGAATTGTGGTTGTCCTTTGTTTTTAGAGGCTCATGGCAAATAGAGGGTGAGGTCTTGTCGACAAGCAAAAGCTGCATCAGAATGCCCTAAACCAGTTTAAACCAATGACATAGGGGGCCAGACAGGCTTCCTGTTGTTTCAGCATACAGAGGGCAAAGGTAGCTTCAAATCAACTTTAGCTTTCCTCCTTTTCCTTCCCCAAGTGCAGCAAGGATGTAGCCAAATACAGCACCCAGTAGTTACACGATTTTGTCCAGTGAGGACAGAATTTTCACTGTTTGTGGCCAGATGTCAATTTTTCAGCCACAGAAGTGTTTACTCTTGACAGTTATGACCCATTTGTAGTTTGGTACCCATACAATAGGGCTGTGCAAAGCTTCGGGTGGCGATTATATTCAGAAGAGATTTGGCCCGATTTGGTGGCCAAACCTCTGAATCCAAATCAAATCAGGGAACCAATTTAAAGGTCCGAATTGATTCAAAGCTCTCCGAATCTTCAGAAAAGATTCGGAGAGCTTTGATGATTCGGGCGGTCCCTGGTGGCTGTAGCAGGGAGCTGCAGCTGACTCAGAGCTGGTAAGTACTAGGGGTGGGGGAGGAGGGGTGTGGGGAGGGGACCATGGGAGGGCCCCTGCCAGCCCCTCTGGACCCCTGCCTGCTCCTCCACCCCAGCTCGGTACTTTATAAAAAATAGCCCTGGTGCTCACCCAGTGCTGCCAGGTGGGGGG